GTCTAAGCTTGGCCTTAAAGACCACAACCTGATGTAATTGTATTAATTAACATCAGTTTCAATGTAACATCAACCTCAATGCCACGTAACATCAACCTCAAATGGCGCCTAAGATTAGCCACAAATGTCATGTAGGAAACACCCAATGTAATGTCATATGACATGAGGGACAATGAGAACTAGGTAACATCTACCACGAATAAAGTAGTAACCACAAATGTCATTATGTTTACATCAAATACTAATGTCATTACAGTAACATCAACAACACAAATTTTACAAAAACAATAAAAGTTACTGCTGTAACTAAATGTACCTGGAACAACTGTTGGTAACTTTGATGAAAATGTAATAAAAGAATGTTAACATCTACTTAAACTCTTGTGTCATGTTTATGAGGCTGTTGCTGTATTTGAGTAGCCAGGTTTTAGAGCATCTTATCATCAAATGTAGTTTAAGAAAACTGTTTTATGTGGAAATGGAGTGGCCAGGTTTTAGAGCATCTTGTAATCAAATATAGTTTAAGAAAACTGTTTTATGTGGCAATTTGGAGAAACCTACGTAGGAAAGCTACCAAATAATTTATTTTTATTTTTTAACCCTCAAGTATAGGAAATATTAAAAAAGCATAATCCTATTATGAAACATCTGCCATTGAAACAAAGTCCTAGGATCTAGATAACTAGATGTGTACTTTATGGTAGCACATGACATACTGGCTGGTGTTATGGCTGAACTTTTGACTGGGGTCAAGGTTAGTGTTTTGCTTCAGTTAGGTTTTAGATAGCCCCACCCCCACATGCAATGGTCACAGCCTCTTCTGTGTCAGGCAGAACCAGATATAACCATAAAATTTATTTAAAATAAAATATTTATTTAATCAGAATATATTTGACAACAAAGCATTTTAAAAATATTAACAATTTATTACAAATTTTAAATCAAGTTTGAAAATCTTCATCATCACTGACAAGAAGCACTGGATTCTATTTTTGTTACTTTCTCATCATTGTCAGAGTCATCACTGACCAAAATTTTATAAAATGGTAGGGAGATTTTACTTGAAAGGACAGAAAGATTTCTGTAGGGTGGCATTCATGGCCTGTCTCTGCATTGGCGGCAGCTCTTTAATATTGAACACATTCTTCATAATTTCATCCATCTCTTTGGTCCATGGGAAATCTAAACCAAAGATAAACAAATTAATCCCAACATGTTCATTCAAACAAAAGTATTTAAAATGTATGGCAATCATATTTAAAACACGGACAGCTTTAAGTATACATTAATTTCTGTAAAGAAATCAACGTAAAGTGAGTTGTTTATCCTAGCATAAAAAGAATACTTGATTAAGATTTATGTACAAGATATTTCATAAACTTGAGAGTAAGGAATCTTCAGCTATGCTCTGCCAATATGTGACCTATTATGGAGTTACACATTAATGATTAAGCTGTTCAAATGAAATGTAATTTCTAGCAAAGATAATTACCTCCATGGAAAACTAAGTGTTAAATAAAGTATATTCCTAAAACAATTTGGAGAATTCAATATATCACAAATTCAAAACTGAATTAAACAGAAATGTGCATTATTTACACCAAGAGAGTAATAAATTCTGGAAAAACTCAGTGCATGACATGCAGTAGAAAAAGCCTCTCATCGGGGATTTAAGACTTTGAATTATGATAGTTAACTACCAATCTATTAGAAAGATATAAGCAGCTATCCGAAAGATTTCAAAACCCACCTGATGCTTACAATGATCTACTCCTCCCCCCCCCATCACACACCTTCACTATCCCATTTGATGTCCAGCTTTTTCTGGTGAGCTTCTTCCTCATGTTGGGAAAGAATAGTTTTTAATTCTGTTCGTTTGCTCAGTAGCTGACCTTGTCTCTCTAATAATTCTTGAAGCTCAACTTCCACCAGCTCCAATTCCTCCTCAACATTGGTGAGTTCTTTCTGATATTCTGAAAAACAATTTTATAAAACCCTCAAAATATATGTTACTATATAGATCTAATAGGCCAAATGTATTATGTAATATGTAGGATGTAAGCCTATCAGTTCACAATACTCTAAAAATTTTGAAAAAAATTATGCTTGCACTAGGCAAATGGCTGATACAATTGTCACATTGTGCAATATACTTTTTGCCCAATCGATTTAAATGCAAAACTCACTCAACTAGACTAGATCTAGATCTAGTCAGTCAGTCAGACAATTTGTCACAATTATTTTTAAAAAAATGCAAACTCAAATATTAAATAAATTGTAATCTATCGTTTTGGGTACGTAAAAAGCGCCGCGGCTATTAATGTACGAAAACGTTACCTCATTGTCAAGGCTTTAATAGAAGTATTTTGTGATATGTTTGTGTCAAATATTATAGATAAATGAATAATAAACCGAAATCAATGGCTAAATATATCAATATAGGCCAGAAATTAACTTTAAATAGCAAGATTTGCTATATAAACAGCAGCCATTTGTAAAATAGAGTGGCTTCTCCCTGAATCTCGCGCTATAAGTTTATAAAAATAAAACTTAAACAAGATGGCTGCTATAGTAAATGAGCACGGTTGCATCTGTTGGAAACATCGCTAGTCTTCATTTATTACTGAAAGGTTTTAATTCAACTGTTTAAAAACAGGTACATAAATGAAACAAGAAAACATTTTTGTATTTTAAAAACATAAATCCTCCTCAAAATGTGAAATAATTATTAAAATTTAAGGAGTCACCTGTTTTTCACATTACAAGTCGCGGGCGATTTTACGTACCTAAAAAGAAAGATTACCAACAAATTCATCAATCTGACAACTAATTTGAAATTTCTTCACATTTTAGTTCATACCTGCCATTTGAGAAAAACAGGAACAGGAATGTGTTACAAATTTGGAAATGCACAATCCTAATAATTAGGGCGTAATTAGGCTAATTAAATGGGTTAGGCCTACAGAGTTGAATGTGATTTGGATTTAAATCTAAGGTTTTTAATTCTTTTGATTTAAGCATTTTAAAACAAAACACAGGATCGAAGAATATAAACATTCGGTTGCAGTCAGCCGCTAACAGTAAAAAATTAAGAAATTAATAATTTTTGCAGACTAAAATAAAAGGCTTTGTGCAAAAAATCGGAGAAAAACGCCGAAGAAAAAAACAACTCTGACATTTTAGCACCAAACATGAACACGTCCACCGACTCCATCTCCCGGGAGTTGTTGTGTAGGGACGCCAGGATAGGCCGTGGGGCGGACAACTTTGGAGGCTCGTACAAGTCCAGGAACAGCTCAGGGAACCAGGTCACTAGGGATGACCTGAATTACAAATTTCAACCCAAAACCAAAGAAAAAGGTAAGCATTTTAACACTGTATCACTCTACAGTTTCATCACTTCTTGAGTCTATTGATCACTAACACGAGACTCCTGAGTTTGTTGTCCATTTAGAAAGTGTCTGGCTTAGAATCCACAGTGTGGACACGAAGACGCCATGACTAATGACCTTGACCGCAGTCACTATACCTAGCGTTTTGGTAGCCTACAATCCTAGGGTGATTAGACATACTTTAATGACAATACTCATTGATTGAATGTAATTCATCACACATTAATTCATCACACAAAATACTGAACCAATTCGCCAGCCTAAAGATAGTCACACTCGTTCGTTAGAAGTTCTCGCTGCCAAATTATAGGCTGCATTTGTGTTTTTACTAGTATTGGTCAATCGCTCAACTACATGTTACTTATTAACGCTGGCTTAAATAAAGTCCCTGACCCAACGTAACGTAGTGTGTAGCATATCATAAGGCTCTAACAGAGTTTCTTCCAGGCATCTCTTCGGGGGGGGGGGGGGGGGCGAAGAATTTTTTTACCGCCCCCCCCCCCCCCCCTAAACGAAATGAAATTTATATAATTTATATAGAAAATATATGCTTTTAACAGTGTCCGCCCCCCCCCCCCCGAAGAAAGTCTACCCCCCCCCCGAAAATTTCATGTGCCCCCCCCCCCCACCGGAGAAAAAAGTCTGGAAGAAACACTATTCTCTAAAGGTAGCGAATAGCAAAGATAGCAAGAAGCTAGGGCTTCGGAGATATTAAATACACAAGATAGTAGTGTATCGATAGTAAAAGATATCGACCAGCAAAGACTAGGTAGCAAGTAGCAAAGTCATTACAGGTAGCCAGTTACAAAGACTCTTTAGGTAGCCAGTAGCAAAGACTCTTTAGGTAGCCAGTGGCAAAGGCTCAACCATGTTTTCATGTCGTGTTTACAGAGGGTGCCGCCGAAGGTGACGACAAGGGCAAAGGTCACAGCAAGAAGAAACACAAGGCCGACAGCCGCAAAAGCCAGCAGATGAAAGGTCGAAAGCAGATAATGATCGACCCATCATCTGACATGGAGGGCTTACAATCCGCACTCGTACGCTTCATTTTTTCTAGCTGGAGTTGGTTGGGTGAACCGGGTGGTCAGGGTTTTAGCAACACGATGTATATTTTAGTACATAGCCAATCCCTTCTAACAGGGTGACACCAGCCAAGGGGTGACATCACAACGAAATGTAACAAATTTTAATGAGAAATTCTACTCATTAAAGTTTTTTTTAGGCAATGGGTGACACACTTAGAGATGGGGGTGACACCGAGTTGCTTAGACTAGAGTATATCTTATGGCCTTTCATATAGTTGTTGGTGGGGGTGGGGGTGACACCAAGTTACTTATATAAAAATATCTCCGTCTTTCTGTCTGTCCGTCTGTCTCTCTCTCTCTCTCTTTATATATATATATATATATATATATATATATATATATATATATATATATATATATATATATATATATATATATAATGATAAGTCGCGGTTTACGGGAAATATACGATGTACTAAGTAGCCATACAGTTTACTTCGAAAATGTTATATCAGTGTATTATTGCATTATAATATGTGCACACCCTCTAAGAGTTTGTAGAGATAACTGAATGAAATGATTGCCGTGACCGAATGCTGTCCCCTACATGTGTACTAACTGCCTTATCCCCCTTACATCCAGGAGGCGGTCAAGCCAAGAACGATCGAGCTCTCCCAGCCTGGGGAGCTGCAAGTCAAGGCATCGGGCATGAAACAGCAGGCATCTACCACAGGTAACTACACGTTACTTTCTAATGCTGGCTTAATAAAAGCCCCTGACCCAACGTAACGTAGTGTGTAGCAGCGGTAGCCATATCATAAGGCTCTAAAGGTAGCGAATAGCAAAGATAGCAAGAAGCTAGGGCTTCAGAGATATTAAATACACAAGATAGTTGTGTATTGATAGTTAAAGATATCGACCTTCAAAGACTAGGTAGCAAGTAGCAAAGTCATTACAGGTAGCCAGTTACAAAGACTCTTTAGGTAGCCAGTAGCAAAGACTCTTTAGGTAGCCAGTAGCTAAGACTCTTTAGGTAGCCAGTAGCTAAGACTCTAGGTAGCCAGTGGCAAAGGCTCAACCATGTTTTCATGTCGTGTTTACAGAGGGTGCCGCCGAAGGTGACGACAAGGGCAAAGGTCACAGCAAGAAGAAACACAAGGCCGACAGCCGCAAAAGCCAGCAGATGAAAGGTCGAAAGTACGTCATGCTCGACCCCTCATCCGACATGGAGGGCTTCCAATCCGTACTCGTACGCTTCATTTTTTCTAGCTGGAGTTGGTTGGGTGAACCGGGTGGTCAGGGTTTTAGCAACACGATGTATATTTTAGTACATAGCCAATCCCTTCTAACCGGGTGACACCAGCCAAGGGGTGACATCACAACGAAATGTAACAAATTTTAATGAGAAATTCTACTCATTAAAGTTTTTTTTAGGCATAGGGTGACACACTTAGAGATGGGGGTGACACCGAGTTGCTTAGACTAGAGTATATCTTATGGCCTTTCATATAGTTGTTGGTGGGGGTGGGGGTGACACCAAGTTACTTATATAAAAATATCTCCGTCTTTCTGTCTGTCCGTCTGTCTCTCTCTCTCTCTCTCTCTCTCTTTATATATATATATATATATATATATATATATATATATATATATATATATAATGATAAGTCGCGGTTTACGGGAAATATACGATGTACTAAGTAGCCATACAGTTTACTTCGAAAATGTTATATCAGTGTATTATTGCATTATAATATGTGCACACCCTCTAAGAGTTTGTAGAGATAACTGAATGAAATGATTGCCGTGACCGAATGCTGTCCCCTACATGTGTACTAACTGCCTTATCCCCCTTACATCCAGGAGGCGGTCAAGCAAAGAACGATCGAGCTCTCCCAGCCTGGGGAGCTGCAAGTCAAGGCATCGGGCATGAAACAGCAGGCATCTACCACAGGTAACTACACGTTACTTTCTAATGCTGGCTTAATAAAAGCCCCTGACCCAACGTAACGTAGTGTGTAGCAGCGGTAGCCATATCATAAGGCTCTAAAGGTAGCGAATAGCAAAGATAGCAAGAAGCAAGGGCTTCAGAGATATTAAATACACAAGATAGTTGTGTATTGATAGTTAAAGATATCGACCTTCAAAGACTAGGTAGCAAGTAGCAAAGTCATTACAGGTAGCCAGTTACAAAGACTCTTTTGGTAGCCAGTAGCTAAGACTCTTTATGTAGCCAGTAGCAAAGACTCTTTAGGTAGCCAGTAGCAAAGACTCTTTAGGTAGCCAGTAGCAAAGACTCTAAGTAGCCAGTAGCAAAGACTCTTTAGGTAGCCAGTAGCAAAGACTCTTTAGGTAGCCAGTAGCAAAGACTCTTTAGGTAGCCAGTAGCAAAGACTCTTTAGGTAGCCAGTAGCAAAGACTCTTTAGGTAGCCAGTAGCAAAGACTCTTTAGGTAGCCAGTAGCAAAGACTCTTTAGGTAGCCAGTAGCAAAGACTCTTTAGGTAGCCAGTAGCTAAGACTCTTTAGGTAGCCAGTAGCTAAGACTCTAAGTAGCCAGTAGCAAAGACTCTTTAGGTAGCCAGTAGCTAAGACTCTAGGTAGCCAGTGGCAAAGGCTCAACCATGTTTTCATGTCGTGTTTACAGAGGGTGCCGCCGAAGGTGACGACAAGGGTAAAGGTCACAGCAAGAAGAAACACAAGGCCGACAGCCGCAAAAGCCAGCAGATGAAAGGTCGAAAGTACGTCATGCTCGACCCCTCATCCGACATGGAGGGCTTCCAATCCGTACTCGTACGCTTCATTTTTTCTAGCTGGAGTTGGTTGGGTGAACCGGGTGGTCAGGGTTTTAGCAACACGATGTATATTTTAGTACATAGCCAATCCCTTCTAACCGGGTGACACCAGCCAAGGGGTGACATCACAACGAAATGTAACAAATTTTAATGAGAAATTCTACTCATTAAAGTTTTTTTTAGGCATAGGGTGACACACTTAGAGATGGAGGTGACACCGAGTTGCTTAGACTAGAGTATATCTTATGGCCTTTCATATAGTTGTTGGTGGGGGTGGGGGTGACACCAAGTTACTTATATAAAAATATCTCTGTCTGTCTGTCTGTCCGTCTGTCTCTCTCTCTCTCTCTTTATATATATATATATATATATATATATATATATATATATATATATATATATATATATATATATATATATATATATATATAAAATGATAAGTCGCGGTTTACGGGAAATATACGATGTACTAAGTAGCCATACAGTTTACTTCGAAAATGTTATATCAGTGTATTATTGCATTATAATATGTGCACACCCTCTAAGAGTTTGTAGAGATAACTGAATGAAATGATTGCCGTGACCGAATGCTGTCCCCTACATGTGTACTAACTGCCTTATCCCCCTTACATCCAGGAGGCGGTCAAGCAACGAACGATCGAGCTCTCCCAGCCTGGGGAGCTGCAAGTCAAGGCATCGGGCATGAAACAGCAGGCATCTACCACAGGTAACTACACGTTACTTTCTAATGCTGGCTTAATAAAAGCCCCTGACCCAACGTAACGTAGTGTGTAGCAGCGGTAGCCATATCATAAGGCTCTAAAGGTAGCGAATAGCAAAGATAGCAAGAAGCAAGGGCTTCAGAGATATTAAATACACAAGATAGTTGTGTATTGATAGTTAAAGATATCGACCTTCAAAGACTAGGTAGCAAGTAGCAAAGTCATTACAGGTAGCCAGTTACAAAGACTCTTTTGGTAGCCAGTAGCTAAGACTCTTTATGTAGCCAGTAGCAAAGACTCTTTAGGTAGCCAGTAGCAAAGACTCTTTAGGTAGCAAGTAGCAAAGACTCTAAGTAGCCAGTAGCAAAGACTCTTTAGGTAGCCAGTAGCAAAGACTCTTTAGGTAGCCAGTAGCAAAGACTCTTTAGGTAGCCAGTAGCAAAGACTCTTTAGGTAGCCAGTAGCAAAGACTCTTTAGGTAGCCAGTAGCAAAGACTCTTTAGGTAGCCAGTAGCAAAGACTCTTTAGGTAGCCAGTAGCAAAGACTCTTTAGGTAGCCAGTAGCTAAGACTCTAAGTAGCCAGTAGCAAAGACTCTTTAGGTAGCCAGTAGCTAAGACTCTAGGTAGCCAGTGGCAAAGGCTCAACCATGTTTTCATGTCGTGTTTACAGAGGGTGCCGCCGAAGGTGACGACAAGGGCAAAGGTCACAGCAAGAAGAAACACAAGGCCGACAGCCGCAAAAGCCAGCAGATGAAAGGTCGAAAGTACGTCATGCTCGACCCCTCATCCGACATGGAGGGCTTCCAATCCGTACTCGTACGCTTCATTTTTTTCTAGCTGGAGTTGGTTGGGTGAACCGGGTGGTCAGGGTTTTAGCAACACGATGTATATTTTAGTACATAGCTAATCCCTTCTAACCGGGTGACACCAGCCAAGGGGTGACATCACAACGAAATGTAACAAATTTTAATGAGAAATTCTACTCACTAAAGTTTTTTTTAGGCATAGGGTGACACACTTAGAGATGGGGGTGACACCGAGTTGCTTAGACTAGAGTATATCTTATGGCCTTTCATATAGTTGTTGGTGGGGGTGGGGGTGACACCAAGTTACTTATATAAAAATATCTCTGTCTGTCTGTCCGTCTGTCTCTCTCTTTATATATATATATATATATATATATATATATATATATATATATATATATATATATATATATATATATATATATATATATATATATATATATATATATAATATGATAAGTCGCGGTTTACGGGAAATATACGATGTACTAAGTAGCCATACAGTTTACTTCGAAAATGTTATATCAGTGTATTATTGCATTATAATATGTGCACACCCTCTAAGAGTTTGTAGAGATAACTGAATGAAATGATTGCCGTGACCGAATGCTGTCCCCTACATGTGTACTAACTGCCTTATCCCCCTTACATCCAGGAGGCGGTCAAGCAACGAACGATCGAGCTCTCCCAGCCTGGGGAGCTGCAAGTCAAGGCATCGGGCATGAAACAGCAGGCATCTACCACAGGTAACTACACGTTACTTTCTAATGCTGGCTTAATAAAAGCCCCTGACCCAACGTAACGTAGTGTGTAGCAGCGGTAGCCATATCATAAGGCTCTAAAGGTAGCGAATAGCAAAGATAGCAAGAAGCTAGGGCTTCAGAGATATTAAATACACAAGATAGTTGTGTATTGATAGTTAAAGATATCGACCTTCAAAGACTAGGTAGCAAGTAGCAAAGTCATTACAGGTAGCCAGTTACAAAGACTCTAGGTAGCCAGTAGCAAAGACTCTAGGTAGCCAGTAGCAAAGACTCTTTAGGTAGCCAGTAGCAAAGACTCTTTAGGTAGCCAGTAGCTAAGACTAGGTAGCCAGTGGCAAAGGCTCAACCATGTTTTCATGTCGTGTTTACAGAGGGTGCCGCCGAAGGTGACGACAAGGGCAAAGGTCACAGCAAGAAGAAACACAAGGCCGACAGCCGCAAAAGCCAGCAGATGAAAGGTCGAAAGTACGTCATGCTCGACCCCTCATCCGACATGGAGGGCTTCCAATCGTACTCGTACGCTTCATTTTTTCTAGCTGGAGTTGGTTGGGTGAACCGGGTGGTCAGGGTTTTAGCAACACGATGTATATTTTAGTACATAGCCAATCCCTTCTAACCGGGTGACACCAGCCAAGGCGTGACATCACAACGAAATGTAACAAATTTTAATGAGAAATTCTACTCATTAAAGTTTTTTTTAGGCATAGGGTGACACACTTAGAGATGGGGGTGACACCGAGTTGCTTAGACTAGAGTATATCTTATGGCCTTTCATATAGTTGTTGGTGGGGGTGGGGGTGACACCAAGTTGCTTATATAAAAATATCTCTGTCTGTCTGTCTGTCTGTCTGTCTGTCTGTCTGTCTGTCTGCCTGCCTTCCTGCTTGCCTGTCTGCCAGCCCGCCCGCCCGTCCGTCCGTCTGTCTGTCTGTCTATATATATCTATATCTATCTATCTATCTATCTATCTATCTATCTATCTATCTATCTATCTATCTATCTATCTATCTATATATATATATATATATATATATATATATCTATATATATGTACATATATATATATATATATCCATGACAGGGATCATTTATGTGTGATATGGACCATTTATGTATGACGGGCATCATTCATCTACGACAGGGATCATTCACGTGTGGCACAGAAATCATTCATGTATGACGGGGACCATTCATGTATGACACGGATCGTTCATTTATGACAGGGATCAGTTATGGAACAGCGATCATTCATATGTGACAGTGATCATTCACAATTGACAGAGATTATTCGTGTAAGACATGGGTCATTCATGTATGGCTGGGATCATTCATGTACGACAGGGATCATTCATGTATGAATATTTAAAATTGTTATGGTAAAATACGATTAAATATAACAATTAAATTTTAATGGCATTTCACCATACTAAACTTTGTATCCCCCCCCCCTCCGGAGCCTTAAATTCTTAAAACAAAAAAAAAAATTGAGCTAACCCAGTTGTATGTGTCTGACCAGCGATCGTTGGCGCCGCCCAGTCTCAAGTCACCATAGCTGCAGCCCCGTCGGCGCCTTCACTCCCGCCACCACCCCCACCTCCACCACCCTCGGTCGCTCCCGCACCAGCCCCTCCACCGCCACCCCCAAAGAAGAAAGGCAAGAAAGGCGAGCCGGAGATCATCGAGAAGCCCCCGGTGGAGACTGCCAGTAAGGAGTCGCAGACCGAGAACAAGAAAAGCAAGCTCCGCTCCATGTTCTGTCCTTTCTGCCGCCTGGCCGTGGAGTACGGCTTTGAGTACCGAGACGTCTCATGGGGCGGGCAAACGGAGAACTTCAAACCACGCACTCGGGGAAAAAAGAGCCAAAAAAAAAAAAATGGAAGAAAAGCTGTAATTATTATTTTATGTAGGCCTTTTACTTTAGGTGAAGAATATATTTAGTATACCTAAAAATTTGGCTCTAAGATAGGATTGGGATCTTGACCATTATTAGGTATTCACTTAAATGGGCTGTCAGCAGTAGGGTAAATTGTATCGTGTGTGTATATATATACATAAATATATTTATGTATATATGTATATGTATATATATATATATATATATATATATATATATATATATATATATATATATATATATATATATATGTGTGTGTATAGCCAGAAAAAAAACATGCTACCTCTCATTCCCCGCTTAAATATTCACCCCCCCCCCCCCCTTGGTTCTTTACACACCCCCCCCCCCTACATTTTCCTAAAAAGATACAAGATCACTTGTATGTATACAATATTCTTCAACTCTATGAGTGGCCTATAGTTTGTCTAAGCTTGGCCTTAAAGACCACAACCTGATGTCATTGTATTAACATCAGTTTCAATGTAACATCAACCTCAATGCCACGTAACATCAACCTCAAATGGCGCCTAAGATTAGCCACAAATGTCATGTAGGAAACACCCAATGTAATGTCATATGACATGAGGGACAATGAGAACTAGGTAACATCTACCACGAATAAAGTTGTAACCACAAATGTCATTATGTTTACATCAAATACTAATGCCATTACAGTAACATCAGTCATGAATAATGTTGTAGACACTAATGTCATTACAGTAACATCAACAACACAAATTTTACAGAAACAATAAAAGTTACTGCTGTTACTAAATGTAACGGGAACAACTGTTGGTAACTTAGATGAAAATGTAATAAAAGAATGTTAACATCTATTTAAACTCTTGTGTCATGTTTATGAGGCTGTTGCTGTATTAGAGTAGCCAGGTTTTAGAGCATCTTATCATCAAATGTAGTGTAAGAAAACTGTTTTATGTGGCAATTTGGAGTGGCCAGGTTTTAGAGCATCTTGTAATCAAATATAGTTTAAGAAAACTGTTTAATGTGGACATTCTGAGAAACCTACGTAGGAAAGCTACCAAATAAATTTTTTATTTTTTAACCCGCAAGTATAGGACATATTAAAAAAGCATAATCCTATTATGAAACATCTGCCATTGTAAACATAGTCCTAGGATGTTGATAACTAGATGTGTACTTCATGGTAGCGCATGACATACTGGCTGGTGTTATGGCTGAACTTTTGACTGGGGTCAAGGTTAGTGTTTTGCTTCAGTTAGGTTTTAGCTAGCCCCACCCCCACATGCAATGGTCACAGCCTCTTCTGTGTCAGGCAGAACCAGATATAACCATAAAATTCATTTAAAATAAAATATTTATTTAATCAGAATATATTTGACAACAAAGCATTTTAAAAATATTAACAATTTATTACAAATTTTAAATCAAGTTTGAAAATCTTCATCATCACTGACAAGAATGGACTGGTGTGGAGAGGAAGAAGCACTGGATTCTATTTTTGTTACTTTCTCATCATAGTCCGAGTCAGAGTCATCACTGACCAAAATCCGTTTCCTTTTTTTTAACGAGGTTTTGGGTGTTTGACTGTTTGAGGGAGACTTGGATTTTCTGTTGTTGGGTCTGGTAGATGAGCTCCCTTCATCGGAATCATCAAAGTTCAAACTGACATCAGAAATTTTACAATCAGGAGCAACGGGGTCGAGTTTTTGTTTAGGTGTGACACCGTTTTGTTGTGCGCTGGTCATTTTCTTTTTTTGTCTGCAAGGTTGAGGGGGCAGAGAGGTGGAGAAGTGAGATTTCTCAGGGTTCACAATAACAAGACTAGGCTTCTGCTGCTTCTCAGTCTTTAGTGCAGGAGAGCCATCAGAAGATGGGTCAGGTTTGGTTGGATTTTTTGAAGGGACTTTCCCAGATTTTTCAAAGTCCATTAACACTGAGGCGACATTGTTTCTAAGGTGTTTGGCTTTAGGTCCTGAATTTGATGGAAGATAACAAAACAATCAGAAGTTAGAAATCAATAGTGGTTGTGAAGCATAGATTGTGTTAATTAAAAGCAAGTCAATTTAAAGAGTGAATATATTCTCTACATATATGTAGAAGTGACGCTGTGGTAGAATGGTAGAGCATAAAACTGAAAGACTTTAGATCAAATCTGGGTTTAAAGTCAGTATGATGTCCCTGAGACCACCCAGCTATGAGTGGTACCTGACTCAAGTTAGGGAAAGTAAAGGAAGTAGGGCATAGTGCTGACCACACTACCCCTTCATATGCCAAGGTCACAGAAACAGGTGAACTGTAATTCAATTGCCCCATGAATCGTCATGTTTGAAAGGGAACTTTACTGTACATTAACAACTTTTAAGGTGAAAAGTCACACAAAACATGCAGAGAAATATTTGCTGCTTACATTTAGACTGTTAATTGACTTAAATATTGAAAAAATTATTCTAAATAAACTGGGAGTAATCTCCCCTAAACATTCTCGAATATTCTTATATAACTCGGAATATAGACATGATTTTTAATTACTTAAACTTTTAAAAATAGAATAGAATCTCGTAGAAAAAAGAATTGCGCACCAAGCCAACGCCAAAACAAAATGTGCATAATAGTGCGCAATATTATTAGTACTTTTTAAATTTATATGCGTTTTTTGAGAAATCGGAAATAGCGTAAATTAGTACTTCCGGTTAACGGAAATTACTCAAAATTTGATAGAAGGTAGAGAATTAGATCTTTTACTTACATGTGAAATTTCATTTATCTATCTCAAGTTATATGCTTTTTAAAAATTCAAAGTAGAAAAAGTACTACTTCTGGTTATCGGAAATCTCTCAAAAGTTGATATGGATCTACGATTTTGATAAAATACTTATATGAAATTTCATCAACCTAGCTGTAATGGTACTCAAGTTATCGTGTTTACACACAGACAGACACACACACACAGACAAGATTGCAAAATTATGTTTTTCCGTATCAGTGAGGTGTTAAATGTCGAGAATTGTAAAAATCTCAATTTTTTTTTTGCACGATTACAAGACTTTCTCTATACTTCGTATATACTACAAAGTAAAAAACCTCAATAACTTGCTAATTATTTAAATATCTCATAGCTGGCCATTTAAAAAAGTTGTTTAAAATAAGAAAAAGCAAGCAGACCTACGTACCTGGTGTTTAAAATAAGAAAAAGCAAGCAGCCCTACATACCTAGTGTTGTTTAAAATAAGAAAAAGCAAGCAGACCTACGTACCTGGTGTTTAAAATAAGAAAAAGCAAGCAGACCTACGTACCTGGTGTTTAAAATAAGAAAAAGCAAGCAGACCTACATACCTGGTGTTTAAAATAAGAAAAAGCAAGCAGACCTACGTACCTGGTGTTTAAAATAAGAAAAAGCAAGCAGCCCTACATACCTAGTGTTGTTTAAAATAAGAAAAAGCAAGCAGACCTACGTACCTGGTGTTTAAAATAAGAAAAAGCAAGCAGACCTACGTACCTGGTGTTTAAAATAAGAAAAAGCAAGCAGACCTACATACCTGGTGTTTAAAATAAGAAAAAGCAAGCAGACCTACGTACCTGGTGTTTAAAATAAGAAAAAGCAAGCAGACCTACGTGCCTGGTGTTTAAAATAAGAAAAAGCAAGCAGACCTACGTACCTAGTGGTGTTTAAAATAAGAAAAAGCAAGCAGACCTACGTGCCTGGTGTTTAAAATAAGAAAAAGCAAGCAGACCTACGTACCTGGTGTTTAAAATAAGAAAAAGCAAGCAGACCTACGTGCCTGGTGTTTAAAATAAGAAAAAGCAAGCAGACCTACGTACCTAGTGTTGTTTAAAATAAGAAAAAGCAAGCAGACCTACGTACCTGGTGTTTAAAATAAGAAAAAGCAAGCAGACCTACGTGCCTGGTGTTTAAAATAAGAAAAAGCAAGCAGACCTACGTACCTAGTGGTGTTTAAAATAAGAAAAAGCAAGCAGACCTACGTGCCTGGTGTTTAAAATAAGAAAAAGCAAGCAGACCTACGTACCTGGTGTTTAAAATAAGAAAAAGCAAGCAGACCTACGTGCCTGGTGTTTAAAATAAGAAAAAGCAAGCAGACCTACGTACCTAGTGGTGTTTAAAATAAGAAAAAGCAAGCAGACCTACATACCTGGTAGAATGTAGCAGATTGTGCTGTAGGCCGTAAAGTGGAAATCTTCCTGTAGGTAGCCCTCGACCAACATGTGGGCCAGAATTCTTTCTGCTTGCTCTTTACTCATGGCTGGCACAGACACAGATTTTACCTGCAAGGATAGGGAGATTTTTACACAATGGTAGGGAGATTTTACACAATGGTAGGGAGATTTTACCTGCAAGGGTAGGGAGATTTTACGCAATGGTAGGGAGATTTTACCTTTAAACTAGTGCCCCCCCCCCCCTGAACCAGCCCACTCACCTTTAAACTAGTGCCCCTCCCCCCCCCAGTGACCCACTCACCTTTAAACTAGTGCCCCCCCCCCCCCCCCCCTGAACCAGCCCACTCACCTTTAAACTAGTGCCCCCCCCCCCAGTGGCCCACTAACCTTTAAACTAGTGCCCCCCCCCCAGTGACCCACTCACCTTTAAACTAGTGCCCACCCCCCCAGTGACCCACTCACCTTTAAACTAGTGACCCCCCTACTGAACCAGGCCTCCAACAACTTGGCCGAGGTGACCCGCTGCTCTGTTGAAGCTGCAGCGTCTAGTAGTGCTATAACATCTTTACAGTATTTGGTCACGTCCTTCTGAACTGTCCCATCTGTTGAGGGCAGCCATGTATAGGGTCATTTATTGTGTTAAGGTAGGAGTGTGTAGGGTCATTTATTGTGTTAAGGTAATAGTAAATAGGGTCATTTATTGTGTTAAGGTAGGAGTGTGTAGGGTCATTTATTGTGTTAAGGTAATAGTAAATAGGGTCATTTATTGTGTTAATGTAATAGTAAATAGGGTCATTTATTGTGTTAAGGTAATTGTAAATAAGGTCATTTACTGTGTAGGGTCATTTATTGTGTTAAGGTAATAGTAAATAGGGTCATTTATTGTGTTAATGTAATAGTAAATAGGGTCATTTATTGTGTTAAGGTAGGAGTGTGTAGGGTCATTTATTGTGTTAAGGTAATAGTAAATAGGGTCATTTATTGTGTTAATGTAATAGTAAATAGGGTCATTTATTGTGTTAAGGTAATTGTAAATAGGGTCATTTACTGTGTAGGGTCATTTATTGTGTTAAGGTAACAGTAAATAGGGTCATTTATTGTGTTAATGTAATAGTAAATAGGGTCATTTATTGTGTTAAGGTAATTGTAAATAGGGTCATTTATTGTGTTAAGGTAATAGTAAATAGGGTCATTTATTGTGTTAAGGTAATAGTAAATAGGGTCATTTATTGTGTTAAGGTAATAGTAAATAGGGTCATTTATTGTGTTAATGTAATAGTAAATAGGGTCATTTATTGTGTTAAGGTAATTGTAAATAGGGTCATTTATTGTGTTAAGGTAATAGTAAATAGGGTCATTTACTGTGTTAAGGTAATTGTAAATAGGGTCATTTACTGTGTTAAGGTAATAGTAAATAGGGTAATTTATTGTGTTAAGGTAATAGTAAATAGGGTCATTTATTGTGTTAAGGTAATAGTAAATAGGGTCATCTATTGTGTTAAGGTAATAGTAAATAGGGTCATTTATTGTGTTAAGGTAATAGTAAATAGGGTCATTTATTGTGTTAAGGTAATAGTAAATAGGGTCATTTATTGTGTTAAGGTAATTGTAAATAGGGTCATTTATTGTGTTAAGGTAATAGTAAATAGGGTCATTTATTGTGTTAAGGTAATTGTAAATAGGGTCATTTATTGTGTTAAGGTAATAGTAAATAGGGTCATTTATTGTGTTAAGGTAATAGTAAATAGGGTCATTTATTGTGTTAAGGTAATAGTAAATAGGGTCATTTATTGTGTTAAGGTAATTGTAAATAGGGTCATTTACTGTGTAGGGTCATTTATTGTGTTAAGGTAATAGTAAATAGGGTCATTTATTGTGTTAAGGTAATAGTAAATAGGGTCATTTACTGTGTTAAGGTAATTGTAAATAGGGTCATTTACTGTGTAGGGTCATTTATTGTGTTAAGGTAATTTGTTAAGGTAATAGTAAATAGGGTCATTTACGGTGTTAAGGTAGGAGTGTGTAGGGTCATTTACGGTGTTAAGGTAGGAGTGTGTAGGGTCATTTATGGTGTTAAGGTAGGAGTGTGTAGGGTCATTTACGGTGTTAAGGTAATAGTAAATAGGGTCATTTACGGTGTTAAGGTAGGAGTGTGTAGGGTCATTTACGGTGTTAAGGTAGGAGTGTGTAGGGTCATTTACGGTGTTAAGGTAGGAGTGTGTAGGGTCATTTACGGTGTTAAGGTAGGAGTGTGTAGGGTCATTTACGGTGTTAAGGTAATAGTAAATAGGGTCATTTATTGTGTTAAGGTAATAGTAAATAGGATCATTTATTGTGTTAAGGTAATAGTAAATAGGGTCATTTATTGTGTTAAGGTAATAGTAAATAGGGTCATTTATTGTGTTAAGGTAATTGTAAATAGGGTCATTTATTGTGTTAAGGTAATAGTAAATAGGGTCATTTATTGTGTTAAGGTAATAGTAAATAGAGTCATTTACTGTGTTAAGGTAATAGTAAATAGGGTCATTTATTGTGTTAAGGTAATAGTAAATAGGGTCATTTATTGTGTTAAGATAATAGTAAATAGAGTCATTTATTGTGTTAAGGTAATTGTAAATAGGGTCATTTATTGTGTTAAGGTAATAGTAAATAGGGTCATTTATTGTGTTAAGGTAATAGTAAATAGGGTCATTTATTGTGTTAAGGTAATAGTAAATAGGGTCATTTATTGTGTTAAGGTAATTGTAAATAGGGTCATTTATTGTGTTAAGGTAATAGTAAATAGGGTCATTTATTGTGTTAAGGTAATAGTAAATAGGGTCATTTACTGTGTAGGGTCATTTATTGTGTTAAGGTAATAGTAAATAGGGTCATTTATTGTGTTAAGGTAATAGTAAATAGGGTCATTTATTGTGTTAAGGTAATTGTAAATAGGGTCATTTACTGTGTAGGGTCATTTATTGTGTTAAGGTAATAGTAAATAGGGTCATTTATTGTGTTAAGGTAATAGTAAATAGGGTCATTTATTGTGTTAAGGTAATTGTAAATAGGGTCATTTACTGTGTAGGGTCATTTATTGTGTTACGGTAATAGTAAATAGGGTCATTTATTGTGTTAAGGTAATAGTAAATAGGGTCATTTATTGTGTTAAGGTAATTGTAAATAGGGTCATTTATTGTGTTAAGGTAATAGTAAATAGGGTCATTTATTGTGTTAAGGTAATAGTAAATAGGGTCATTTATTGTGTTAAGGTAATAGTAAATAGGGTCATTTATTGTGTTATGGTAATTGTAAATAGGGTCATTTACTGTGTAGGGTCATTTATTGTGTTAAGGTAATAGTAAATAGGGTCATTTATTGTGTTAAGGTAATAGTAAATAGGGTCATTTACTGTGTTAAGGTAATTGTAAATAGGGTCATTTACTGTGTAGGGTCATTTATTGTGTTAAGGTAATTTGTTAAGGTAATAGTAAATAGGGTCATTTACGGTGTTAAGGTAGGAGTGTGTAGGGTCATTTACGGTGTTAAGGTAGGAGTGTGTAGGGTCATTTATGGTGTTAAGGTAGGAGTGTGTAGGGTCATTTACGGTGTTAAGGTAATAGTAAATAGGGTCATTTACGGTGTTAAGGTAGGAGTGTGTAGGGTCATTTACGGTGTTAAGGTAGGAGTGTGTAGGGTCATTTACGGTGTTAAGGTAGGAGTGTGTAGGGTCATTTACGGTGTTAAGGTAGGAGTGTGTAGGGTCATTTACGGTGTTAAGGTAATAGTAAATAGGGTCATTTATTGTGTTAAGGTAATAGTAAATAGGATCATTTATTGTGTTAAGGTAATAGTAAATAGGGTCATTTATTGTGTTAAGGTAATAGTAAATAGGGTCATTTATTGTGTTAAGGTAATAGTAAATAGGGTCATTTATTGTGTTAAGGTAATAGTAAATAGAGTCATTTACTGTGTTAAGGTAATAGTAAATAGGGTCATTTATTGTGTTAAGGTAATAGTAAATAGGGTCATTTATTGTGTTAAGATAATAGTAAATAGAGTCATTTATTGTGTTAAGGTAATTGTAAATAGGGTCATTTATTGTGTTAAGGTAATAGTAAATAGGGTCATTTATTGTGTTAAGGTAATAGTAAATAGGGTCATTTATTGTGTTAAGGTAATAGTAAATAGGGTCATTTATTGTGTTAAGGTAATTGTAAATAGGGTCATTTATTGTGTTAAGGTAATAGTAAATAGGGTCATTTATTGTGTTTAGGTAATAGTAAATAGGGTCATTTACTGTGTAGGGTCATTTATTGTGTTAAGGTAATAGTAAATAGGGTCATTTATTGTGTTAAGGTAATAGTAAATAGGGTCATTTATTGTGTTAAGGTAATTGTAAATAGGGTCATTTACTGTGTAGGGTCATTTATTGTGTTAAGGTAATAGTAAATAGGGTCATTTATTGTGTTAAGGTAATAGTAAATAGGGTCATTTATTGTGTTAAGGTAATTGTAAATAGGGTCATTTACTGTGTAGGGTCATTTATTGTGTTACGGTAATAGTAAATAGGGTCATTTATTGTGTTAAGGTAATAGTAAATAGGGTCATTTACTGTGTTAAGGTAATTGTAAATAGGGTCATTTACTGTGTAGGGTCATTTATTGTGTTAAGGTAATTTGTTAAGGTAATAGTAAATACGGTCATTTACGGTGTTAAGGTAGGAGTGTGTAGGGTCATTTACGGTGTTAAGGTAATAGTAAATAGGGTCATTTACGGTGTTAAGGTAGGAGTGTGTAGGGTCATTTACGGTGTTAAGGTAGGAGTGTGTAGGGTCATTTACGGTGTTAAGGTAGGAGTGTGTAGGGTCATTTACGGTGTTAAGGTAGGAGTGTGTAGGGTCATTTACAGTGTTTAGGTAGGAGTGTGTAGGGTCATTTACGGTGTTAAGGTAGGAGTGTGTAGGGTCATTTACGGTGTTAAGGTAGGAGTGTGTAGGGTCATTTACGGTGTTAAGGTAATAGTAAATAGGGTCATTTACGGTGTTAAGGTAGGAGTGTGTAGGGTCATTTACGGTGTTAAGGTAGGAGTGTGTAGGGTCATTTACGGTGTTAAGGTAGGAGTGTGTAGGGTCATTTACGGTGTTAAGGTAGGAGTGTGTAGGGTCATTTACAGTGTTAAGGTAGGAGTGTGTAGGGTCATCTACTGCAGTATAGAAGAAAGTCATTTGTGTGTAAGTTTAATAGGGTTATTTACTGCAGTAACCATTGTATAGGGTCATTTCTTATAACAACACAACTGATACACAGTCATAAATCAAACAAACACAACAACAAATGTTCTAAATAAATAACAATGTTTTTAAAACATGTTTCATGTGCAGGGGAAGATTGTTGTGTAGTGTCCAGCAATGGACTTTTAAGTCACCTTTGATGTGGTGAGATCTCAGACAATGGTCACACATTTGATCGCACTGTGAACTTTCCCACACCTCCCCAAAATGGCGGGCGATGATTGACCTCCGGCAGCTTATGTTGATAAAAAATGAAACAACACATTAACAACATATATAATAATATCAACAAGGTAGATTAAGTGTCAAGTTTATAGTGGTAAACTTCATAAAACTGATGAATGGATGAGTGAGTTGGTTTTAAAACTGTGACAGAGGGTAGCTAAACATCTGATGACAGATAGTAGAAATTTTTTCTGTTAGACCATACAGTAAAAGTGGTCAATTATATTTATTTACATGACCTCAGTATATGAGGGATTCTGTGGTTGGACAATCGCCTTCCATATTCTGGATGAGCATAATGACATTCTACTAACTCAAACACAGTCAGTAAACAAACTTGAGATTTTTGGAAGTTTCTTTAAGAATATCTCTAGGAATCAAATTGTACAGTCATTTTACAACCACCTATCACTTTTTATGTAAGTATTTAAAATGTATAATTCCCACATTCGTCTACATTAAGGCACACAAAGCCTCAAACCATAAACCAATTAGAAATTAAAAAACTTCCCCACTCCCTTTTTATATTACACTAAAGTTACTAATCTCAATCAGTCTATCAAGTTACCCACAATATAAAATGACAAGCTTATGTGCAATGACGATAAACATAAAATCTGCAAATCTGAAGAAATCTCGTACAATATCGTATAATAAAAACACACCTGCGTACATCTATACAGTAGCGTATGATCCCATGTAGATTCCTCAGCCCAGTTTGTTCAGTGAAGACCATTGAGCTTTGTTTGGCTACATCAGCCAGACGGTACAAAACTATACAGTCAGACCTTTTGTTGTCTCGACCTATTGAACAATACAACACTATACAGTCAGATGTCATTACCTATAGAACAATACAACACTATACAGTCAGATGTCATGACCTAGAGAACACTACAACACTATACAGTCAGACCTTTTGTTGTCTCGACCTATAGAACAATACAACACTATACAGTCAGATGTCATGACCTAAAGAACAATACAACACTATACAGTCACACCTTTTGTTGTCTCGACCTGTAGAACAATACAACACTATACAGTCAGATGTCATGACCTAAAGAACAATACAACACTATACAGTCACACCTTTTGTTGTCTCGACCTGTAGAACAATACAACACTATACAGTCAGATGTCATGACCTAAAGAACAATACAACACTATACAGTCAGACCTTTTGTTGTCTCGACCTATTGAACAATACAACACTATACAGTCAGATGTCATGACCTAAAGAACAATACAACACTATACAGTCAGACCTTTTGTTGTCTCGACCTATTGAACAATACAACACTATACAGTCAGATGTCATGACCTAAAGAACAATACAACACTATACAGTCAGACCTTTTGTTGTCTCGACCTGTAGACCAATACAACACTATACAGTCAGATGTCATTACCTATAGAACAATACAACACTATACAGTCAGATGTCATGACCTGTAGAACAATACAACACTATACAGTCAGATGTCATGACCTGTAGAACAATACAACACTATACAGTCAGATGTCATGACCTGTAGAACAATACAACACTATACAGTCAGATGTCATGACCTGTAGAACAATACAACACTATACAGTCAGATGTCATGATTTATAGAACAATACAACACTATACAGTCAGATGACATGCTTTATAAAACAATACAACACTATACAGTAAGACATCATGACCTATTGAACAATACAACACTATACAGTCAGATGTCATGACCTATAGAACAATACAACACTATACAGTCAGATGTCATGACCTGTAGAACAATACAACACTATACAGTCAGATGTCATGACCTTTAGAACAATACAACACTATACAGTCAGATGTCATGACCTGTAGAACAATACAACACTATACAGTCAGATGTCATGACCTTTAGAACAATACAACACTATACAGTCAGATGTCATGACCTGTAGAACAATACAACACTATACAGTCAGATGTCATGACCTATAGAACAATACAACACTATACAGTCAGATGTCATGACCTGTAGAACAATACAACACTATACAGTCAGATGTCATGACCTTTAGAACAATACAATACTATACAGTCAGATGTCATGACCTAAAGAACAATACAACACTATACAGTCAGACCTTTTGTTGTCTCGACCTATTGAACAATACAACACTATACAGTCACACCTTTTGTTGTCTCGACCTGTAGAACAATACAACACTATACAGTCAGATGTCATGACCTAAAGAACAATACAACACTATACAGTCAGACCTTTTGTTGTCTCGACCTGTAGACCAATACAACACTATACAGTCAGATGTCATTACCTATAGAACAATACAACACTATACAGTCAGATGTCATGACCTGTAGAACAATACAACACTATACAGTCAGATGTCATGACCTGTAGAACAATACAACACTATACAGTCAGATGTCATGACCTGTAGAACAATACAACACTATACAGTCAGATGTCATGACCTGTAGAACAATACAACACTATACAGTCAGATGTCATGATTTATAGAACAATACAACACTATACAGTCAGATGACATGCTTTATAAAACAATACAACACTATACAGTAAGACATCATGACCTATTGAACAATACAACACTATACAGTCAGATGTCATGACCTATAGAACAATACAACACTATACAGTCAGATGTCATGACCTGTAGAACAATACAACACTATACAGTCAGATGTCATGACCTTTAGAACAATACAACACTATACAGTCAGATGTCATGACCTGTAGAACAATACAACACTATACAGTCAGATGTCATGACCTTTAGAACAATACAACACTATACAGTCAGATGTCATGACCTGTAGAACAATACAACACTATACAGTCAGATGTCATGACCTATAGAACAATACAACACTATACAGTCAGATGTCATGACCTGTAGAACAATACAACACTATACAGTCAGATGTCATGACCTTTAGAACAATACAATACTATACAGTCAGATGTCATGACCTGTAGAACAATACAACACTATACAGTCAGATGTCATGACCTATAGAACAATACAACACTATACAGTCAGATGTCATGATTTATAGAACAATACAACACTATACAGTCAGATGACATGCTTTATAAAACAATACAACACTATACAGTCAGATGTCTCGACCTGTAGAACAATACAATACTATACAGTCAGATGTCATGACCTGTAGAACAATACAACACTATACAGTCAGATGTCATGACCTTTAGAACAATACAACACTATACAGTCAGATGTCATGACCTGTAGAACAATACAACACTATACAGTCAGATGTCATGACCTATAGAACAATACAACACTATACAGTCAGATGTCATGACCTGTAGAACAATACAACACTATACAGTCAGATGTCATGACCTATAGAACAATACAATACTATACTGTCAGTCAGGCTAGACTAACACATTTTTATTAATTGTAATTAAAAACCCACCAGCCCTGCCACTCTCCTGGTAAAGATTCTCCATAGACTTGCTGATGGAGTGGTGTATCACAAACCTCACATCTGGCTTATCAATGCCCATACCAAAGGCCACAGTGGCAACTATTATCTGAAAATGTTCATTACAATTTGGATACCTCTTTCTCAACTTGAACAAATTATTTTTAAACCCTCATCTATTTTTTCTAAACAATATGACTCTTAACACATTTCTGAACAATACCTAGTTTAATTAAGTTTGACAAAAATGAACATATTTTTAGATCTTTTTATATCTTTAACCCTTTGAGCCCGCCAGGCCGGTAAACCGGCTTCAACATTAGGCATATATGTCCGAAAAGCAGGTTTTCCGGCCCGATGATCTAGCGTCATATTTCTAGCGGCCGGTATACCATCTAATTAAATATAATTAGCGGAATACTGACTAAAACTGCGCATATGTCTTTTTAGTGCGTGATTATGATTCTAAAAATAGATTTTAGGAAAAGTGAAAGTGTTTACAATACGTAGCAATGCCGCCGAAACGAAAAGCTGAGCCACGGCCATCGACTTCAGCACATAAAGCTGGTGCAAAAGATGAAGCAAAAGACCGAAATATCAACAAAAGAAGTAGAATGACTGCATCTCAGGCAATACATCTACTTATTGATTCTGATGAAGAAGATAATATTCCTGGTCTATATTATGATGATAGTGACGTTGAATTTGAGACTGAACTCAGTGACATTGAAATTGATAGTGACAATGAAACTGTTCTAGTACGTTATGATGCACGTGGTGCCAATGACAAAGACTTGCCGAAACGAAAAAAACAACAACTGTTTACTGGAGCAAAACATGCGAAGTTTTTCTTTGTATCGGGTCCGGCAGTGATAACTGTTTTGAAAGTTATCACACAAAAGTGGACTTCTGTCTATGAACTAGTATGGCCAGGTATCAATAATAAAAAAACAATTACTAAATGTAAATTTGTTTCTTCTATGTTCTATCAAAACAATAATTACGTGTTCGTTTTATATACATTTTTCTGTTCATACATTATAAACAAATAAAGAATTTCAGAATCTTTCTGCTTTGATGTTTGATCCTGAGTCTGGATACAAAATTTTGTCTGATTATCTCAAACGGTTCAAAAGTTATAGGCAAAGTTAGAAGCAGATAAGTGAAAATTGGTTTGGCCCTGGGAGCTCAGGTAATGGGAGAAACTAGGCCAGGGAGGCCAGGGCTCAAAGGGTTAAAATTCTAAAATTAAGATAAAAGCATTATAGATAAAATTGAAAAAAAAAAAAATGTAAGTTACAATTTGATAGTTTGTGAAAAAGGTTAACACCTTCGACCCAAAATTAGAAGAATGTTACAATAAATTTTAAAAAATCTTATTTATACTTGTTTAAATAATGTTATGTAATAATTGTAAATAATTATTTCAATAAAATTATTTAAGTTAATAAAAACAATATTAAATGAAAATTACACAAAAGTAAACTTTTTAAAAAAAAAAAAATATAAAATACTGTAATAAGTATAAAGACTCAATTATTCGAGTCATATTTCAAAGATGAACTAAATAATAATTCTCATAGCCACATTCTTATAACAAGAAGCAACTTTAACTAAACAACCAACGCTACCTGGACTTCGCCTGACAGCCATTTTTTATGGACTGTACTGCGAGAATTGGCATCCATGTCTGCGTGGTACCAGCCAGCCTTGAGACCTCTTGACTTCAGCTCCTGGGCCACTTCTTCTGAGTCTTTACGGGAGAAACAGTACACAATACCTGGGGAAACAGTACACAATACCTGGGGAAACAGTACACAATACCTGGGGAAACAGTACACAATACCTGGGGAAACAGTACACAATACCTGGGGAAACAGTACACAATACCTGGGGAAAAAGTACAGTACACAATACCTGGGGAAACAGTACACAATACCTGGGGAAACAGTACACAATACCTGGGGAAACAGTACACAATACCTGGGGAAACAGTACAGTACACAATACCTGGGGAAACAGTACACAATACCTGGGGAAACAGTACACAATACCTGGGGAAACAGTACACAATACCTGGGGAAACAGTATACAATACCTGGGGAAACAGTACACATTACCTGGGGAAACAGTACACAATACCTGGGGAAACAGTACACAATACCTGGGGAAACAGTACACAATACCTGGGGAAACAGTACACAATACCTGGGGAAACAGTACACAATACCTGGGGAAACAGTACACAATACCTGGGGAAACAGTACACAATACCTGGGGAAACAGTACACAATACCTGGGGAAACAGTACACAATACCTGGGGAAACAGTACACAATACCTGGGGAAACAGTACACAATACCTGGGGAAACAGTACACAATACCTGGGGAAACAGTACACAATACCTGGGGAAACAGTACACAATACCTGGGGAAACAGTACACAATACCTGGGGAAACAGTACACAATACCTGGGGAAACAGTACACAATACCTGGGGAAACAGTACACAATACCTGGGGAAACAGTACACAATACCTGGGGAAACAGTACACAATACCTGGGGAAACAGTGCACAATACCTGAGGAAACAGTACACAATACCTGGGGAAACAGTGCACAATACCTGGGGAAACAGTGCACAATACCTGGGGAAACAGTACACAATACCTGGGGAAACAGTACACAATACCTGGGGAAACAGTACACAAACAGTACACAATACCTGGGGAAACAGTACACAATACCTGGGGAAACAGTACACAATACCTGGGGAAACAGTACACAATATCCTGGGGAAATAGTACACAATACCTGGGGAAACAGTACACAATACCTGAGGAAACAGTACACAATACCTGGGGAAACAGTGCACAATACCTGGGGAAACAGTACACAATACCTGGGGAAACAGTACACAATACCTGAGGAAACAGTACACAATACCTGGGGAAACAGTGCACAATACCTGGGGAAACAGTACACAATACCTGGGGAAACAGTACACAATACCTGAGGAAACAGTACACAATACCTGGGGAAACAGTACACAATACCTGGGGAAACAGTACACAATACCTGGGGAAACAGTACACAATACCTGGGGAAACAGTACACAATACCTGGGGAAACAGTACACAAACAGTACACAATACCTGGGGAAACAGTACACAAACAGTACACAATACCTGGGGAAACAGTACACAATACCTGGGGAAACAGTACACAATACCTGGGGAAACAGTACACAATACCTGGGGAAACAGTACACAATACCTGGGGAAACAGTACACAATACCTGGGGAAACAGTACACAATACCTGGGGAAACAGTACACAATACCTGGGGAAACAGTACACAATACCTGGGGAAACAGTACACAATACCTGGGGAAACAGTACACAATACCTGGGGAAACAGTACACAATACCTGGGGAAACAGTACACAATAACTGGGGAAACAGTACACAATACCTGGGGAAACAGTACACAATACCTGGGGAAACAGTACACTATACCTGGGGAAACAGTACACAATAACTGGGGAAACAGTACACAATACCTGGGGAAACAGTACACAATACCTGGGGAAACAGTACACAATACCTGGGGAAACAGTACACAATACCTGGGGAAACAGTACACAATACCTGGGGAAACAGTACACAATACCTGGGGAAACAGTACACAATACCTGGGGAAACAGTACACAATACCTGAGGAAACAGTACACAATACCTGGGGAAACAGTACACAATACCTGGGGAAACAGTACACAATACCTGGGGAAACAGTACACAATACCTGGGGAAACAGTACACAATACCTGGGGAAACAGTACACAATACCTGGGGAAACAGTACACAATACCTGGGGAAACAGTACACAATACCTGGGGAAACAGTACACAATACCTGGGGAAACAGTCCACAATACCTGGGGAAACAGTACACAATAACTGGGGAAACAGTACACAATACCTGGGGAAACAGTACACAATACCTGGGGAAACAGTACACAATACCTGGGGAAACAGTACACAATACCTGGGGAAACAGTACACAATACCTGGGGAAACAGTACACAATACCTGGGGAAACAGTACACAATACCTGGGGAAACAGTACACAATACCTGGGGAAACAGTACACAATAACTGGGGAAACAGTACACAATACCTGGGGAAACAGTACACAATACCTGGGGAAACAGTACACAATACCTGGGGAAACAGTACACAATACCTGGGGAAACAGTACACAATACCTGGGGAAACAGTACACAATACCTGGGGAAACAGTACACAATACCTGGGGAAACAGTACACAATACCTGGGGAAACAGTACACAATACCTGGGGAAACAGTACACAATACCTGGGGAAACAGTACACAATAACTGGGGAAACAGTACACAATACCTGGGGAAACAGTACACAATACCTGGGGAAACAGTACACAATACCTGGGGAAACAGTACACAATACCTGGGGAAACAGTACACAATACCTGGGGAAACAGTACACAATACCTGGGGAAACAGTACACAATACCTGGGGAAACAGTACACAATACCTGGGGAAACAGTACACAATACCTGGGGAAACAGTACACAATACCTGAGGAAACAGTACACAATACCTGGGGAAACAGTGCACAATACCTGGGGAAACAGTACACAATACCTGGGGAAACAGTACACAATACCTGGGGAAACAGTACACAATACCTGAGGAAACAGTACACAATACCTGGGGAAACAGTGCACAATACCTGGGGAAACAGTACACAATACCTGGGGAAACAGTACACAATACCTGAGGAAACAGTACACAATACCTGGGGAAACAGTACACAATACCTGGGGAAACAGTACACAATACCTGGGGAAACAGTACACAATACCTGGGGAAACAGTACACAATACCTGGGAAAACAGTACACAATACTTGGGGAAACAATACCTGGGGAAACAGTACACAATACCTGGGGAAACAGTACACAATACCTGGGGAAACAGTACACAATACCTGGGGAAACAGTACACAATACCTGGGGAAACAGTATCTGAGGAAACAGTACACAATACCTGGGAAAACAGTACACAATACCTGGGAAAACAGTACACAATACCTGGGGAAACAGTGCACAATACCTGGGGAAACAGTACACAATACCTGGGGAAACAGTACACAATACCTGGGGAAACAGTACACAATAACTGGGGAAACAGTACACAATAACTGGGGAAACAATACCTGGGGAAACAGTACACAATACCTGGGGAAACAGTACACAATACCTGGGGAAACAGTGCACAATACCTGGGGAAACAGTACCTGGGGAAACAATACCTGGGGAAACAGTACACAATACCTGGGGAAACAGTACACAATACCTGGGGAAACAGTACCTGGGGAAACAGTACCTGGGGAAACAATACCTGGGGAAACAGTACACAATACCTGGGGAAACAGTACACAATACCTGGGGAAACAGTACACAATACCTGGGGAAACAGTACACAATACCTGGGGAAACAGTACACAATACCTGGGGAAATAGTACACAATACCTGGGGAAACAGTACACAATACCTGGGGAAACAGTACACAATACCTGGGGAAACAGTACACAATACCTGGGGAAACAGTACACAATACCTGGGGAAACAGTACACAATACCTGGGGAAACAGTACACAATACCTGGGGAAACAGTACACAATACCTGGGGAAACAGTACACAATACCTGGGGAAACAGTACACAATAACTGGGGAAACAATACCTGGGGAAACAGTACACAATACCTGGGGAAATAGTACACAATACCTGGGGAAACAGTACACAATACCTGGGGAAACAGTACACAATACCTGGGGAAACAGTACACAATACCTGGGGAAACAGTGCACAATACCTGGGGAAACAGTACACAATACCTGGGGAAACAGTACACAATACCTGGGGAAACAGTACACAATACCTGGGGAAACAGTACACAATAACTGGGGAAACAATACCTGGGGAAACAGTACACAATACCTGGGGAAATAGTACACAATACCTGGGGAAACAGTACACAATACCTGGGGAAACAGTACCTGGGGAAACAATACCTGGGGAAACAGTACACAATACCTGGGGAAACAGTACACAATACCTGGGGAAACAGTACCTGGGGAAACAGTACATAATACCTGGGGAAACAGTACACAATACCTGGGGAAACAGTACACAATACCTGGGGAAACAGTACACAATACCTGGGGAAACAGTACACAATACCTGGGGAAACAGTACACAATACGTGGGGAAATAGTACACAATACCTGGGGAAACAGTACACAATACCTGGGGAAACAGTACACAATACCTGGGGAAACAGTACACAATACCTGGGGAAACAGTACACAATACCTGGGGAAACAGTACACAATACCTGGGGAAACAGTACACAATACCTGGGGAAACAGTACACAATACCTGGGGAAACAGTACACAATACCTGGGGAAACAGTACACAATACCTGGGGAAACAGTACACAATACCTGGGGAAACAGTACACAATACCTGGGGAAACAGTACACAATACCTGGGGAAACAGTACACAATACCTGGGGAAACAGTACACAATACCTGGGGAAACAGTACACAATACCTGGGGAAACAGTACACAATACCTGGGGAAACAGTACACAATACCTGGGGAAACAGTACCTGGGGAAACAGTACACAATACCTGGGGAAACAGTACACAATACCTGGGGAAACAGTACACAATACCAGAAGAAACAGCATATAAAACTTGAAAAACAGTAGACTAAACTTGCAAGAAATAGTACACAAATCTAACAGGAATCAGAAGACAATAATGTTAAAAATAATAACCAATGTTAGTTTCTGGTACTTTTGCTAGTTTCTCTACAAAAATTCTAAACTTGACCGTAATGGGTATACCAAAAAAAAAAAGTGGAACCAAACAGTTATGTCCTACCAGTATTTTTATTTAGTTTTTCATCTGTCTTGGGGTTAGTATTAGTTTAACAAAAAATAGTGATAAGCTTTTAAAATGTCATTTCGACCTGTTGGATGATATAAGATTCAAATCTTTATTTTAGGCTGTCAACCTATGTTAATTACATATCAGGTACTAGTTGAGTTCAGTCAAAGAAACACTAATAGCACAATAAAAATAGTGAATAAATGAGTAGCCATCAACTTGCCTGACTGCCCTTTAAACCGACTAGTTATCAGTTGATGTATCTTATCTATTGCTTCTTTTTGTGAGTTGGGTTTTTCTTGTACCTTGAAAAAATTAAGAAAGTGGCAAATAAAATAAGTAATTATTTTGCACAACAACAATAGCATGGACATAAATAACAAGGCTTTAGTAATATCTAGCTAAGGGGAGAACACTCTAATAAAAAGCTTTCTGCAGAAATTTTAAATTTTAGTTACTCAAGAGTTATGTTACCTCATAGAATAAATTAGGTCTGTTGAATGATGCCCTAAATAACAAAGCTTTTGGGATGTTCAGAATCTTTTTGACATCTTCCAGAACTTTCAGTGTGGCTGTCGCGGTCAAGCCAAGGATGGGGGCATTAGGATACTGGCGTTTCATTATTCCGAGAAACTTGTAATCTAATCAAAAATGGAGTATCAACTCTTTATTAATATATTGAAATCTTTCTTATATAAAAACAAAATTTCAGTATACAGAGTTAAGTATGTATAATATAAACATTTACAAGGTGTAGGTAAAAAAAGAGAAAAATTAACCATGCAAAAGTGAGAGTCAAGTTTTCCAGGCGTAGGATGGAGGGTAAGATTTAGAATGTGTAAGCATAAGAATTAGCATATGTAAGCAAGAAAGTAAAGTTTACCTAGTGTAAGCAAAAAAGTAAAATTTAACAGGTGTAAGGGAGAAAGTAAAGCTTATCAAGTGTAAGTAAAAAAAAGAGTAAAATTTATCATGCAAAAGTGAGAAAGTCAAGTTTTCAAGGCATGAAAGATAAATAAAGATTTAACATGTGTAAGCAAGAAAGTAAAGTTTACCAGCTGTAAGCAAGAAAATAAAGTTTACTAGGCATAAGCAAGAAAGTTAAGTTTACCAAGTATAAGCAAGAAAGTAAAGTTTACTAGGTCTAAGCAAGAAAGTAAAGTTTATCAGCTGTAAGCAAAAAAGTAAAGTTTACCAGGTGTAATCAAGAAAGTAAAGTTTACCAGGCCTAAAGTCATGCCCCCACTGTGAGCAGCAGTGAACCTCGTCTATGACAATCCTGGCCAGGTGGTTGACCGCATAGCATTTCTCCAAGCGGTTCATGAACCTCTTACTTTTGGCCAGCTTCTCAGGGGTCACATAAAGTAGGCGGAGCTTACCTTTGGGGTTCACCATATCATCCTACAGATAACAGAAGAGATGATAATTTAAAGTTGTATTTAATTTTCTTTGGGTAATTGTTGTAGCAATATGGTTGTGTAAATTATAACCTGTTAATAGTTCAAGTTAACCACTGTTTTAAAATTTTGTTTGTACAGTTTTGCTAGTTTTCATTATTAGACATTTGGTTAAAAGACATCTACAGAAAAATCTGAAAATCTTATAACCACCTCTTACGAATAATATGCAGTTTCAATAATAACTTTACAAATTTGATATCCTAATATTATGCACCTCGTTAAAAAAAAAAAAAACAAAGATCTGAAGCTACCTGTACAAATTTGATATCTTCCTTGCTAGTTGAGGCACACAGTATCGCAGATGGAATGTTAAGTTCTTGTAAGGCCATTAGTTGGTCCTCCATTAAAGACACCAGAGGTGAGACTACCAGTGTAAGACCTGAGAATACAAAAAGTGTTACTGTTTGAAAAAAATGATACAAAACAAACATAAATTTAAAGTTCATATAAACAATATCAAATTTAAACCATCTATTGTTATAATTTTTTAGAAGACTTGAAATTCTACATGAACTGCATTTTAATCTATATGCTTAGCTGAAAAATTAGAAATTTGGTAAGTAAAAAAAGAATAATAATTGTAGATAATTAAAAAAGGTTTTAAAATTTTAAAAATTTAATACCATATTTCAATTAAATTCACAACTTTTAAAACTATGAACACAAACAATAAATAAAGCTACTGCAGTAATGATCTTACCTTTGTCAACAAGGGCAGGTAACTGAAAGCATAAACTCTTGCCACCCCCTGTTGGCATGATGAGAAGACAATCCTCTTTCTGCAAGGTGGCATTCATGGTCTGTCTCTGCATTGGCCGCAGCTCTTTAATTTTGAACACATTCTTCATAATTTCATCCATCTCTTTGGTCCAAGGGAAATCTAAACCAAAGATAAACAAATTAATCCCAACATGTTTATTCAAACAAAAGTCTTTAAAATGTATGACAATCATATTTAAAACATGGACAGTTTTAAGTATACATTAATTTCTGTAAAGAAATCAACGTAAAGTGAGTTGTTTATCCTAGTGTAAAAAGAATACTTGATTAAGATTTATGTACGAGATATTTCATAGACTTGAGAGTAAGGAATCTTCAGCTATGCTCTGCCAATATGTGACCTATTATGGAGTTACACATTAAGCTGTTCAAATGAAATGTAATTTCTAGCAAAGATAATTACCTCCATGGAAAACTAAGTGTTAAATACACTCTATTCCTAACTTACTAACACAATTTGGAGAATTCAATAGATCACTAACTCAGAACTGAATTAAACAGAAATGTGCATTATTTACAACAAGAGAGTAATAAATTCTGGAAAAACTCAGTGCATAACATGCAGTAGAAAAAGCCTCTCATCTGGGATTTAAGACTTTGAACTATGAAAGTTAACTACTGATCTTTTAGATAATAACAGCTATCCGAAAGATTACAAAACCCTTCTGATGCTTACAATGATCTACTCCTCTCCCCCTCCCCATCACACACCTTCACTATCCCATTTGATGTCCAGCTTTTTCTGGTGAGCTTCTTCCTCATGTTGGGAAAGAATTGTTTTTAATTCTGTTCGTTTGTTCAGTAGCTGACTTTGTCTCTCTAATAATTCTTGAAGCTCAACTTCCACCAGCTCCAATTCCTCCTCAACCTTGGTGAGTTCTTTCTGATATTCTGAAAAACAATAAAAAAAACCCTCAAAATATGTTACTATAATAGGCCATATGCCGGCCATATGTATTATGAATTATGTAATATGTGTAGAGTGTAGGCCTATGAAATAGCCTATGATGTATCAGTAATAGTAATACTCTAAGGAGTCTAAAAATTTGGAAAAAAAATTATGCTTGCACAAGGCAAATGGCTGACACAATTGCCACATTGTGCAATATACTTTTTGCCCAATCTATTTAAATGCAAAACTCACTCAACTAGACTTACTAGATTTAGATCTAGTAACTAGATCTAGTAAGTCAGTCAGACAATTTAAAAAAAAAATGCAATCTGATCTCAAATTCAAACTGACAACTAATTTCTTCACATTTTTAGTTCATACCTGCCATTTGAGAAAAGCAGGAACAGGAATGTGTTACAAATTTGGAAATGCACAATCCTAATTAGGCTAATTAAATTAGGTAGGCCTACAGAGTTGAATGTGATTTGGATTTAAATCTAAGGTTTTTAACTCTATTGATTTAGGCATTTTAAAACAAAACACAGGATCAACGAATATAAACATTCGGTTGCAGTCAGCCGCTAACAGTAAAAAATTAAGAAAAAAAGTTTCACCTTTTACTAGTTTATTAACTTAATAATTTTTGCAAACTAAAATAAAAGGCTTTGTACGACAACATAAGCTACTTTAAAAACTTTTTTCTTCCATTTTAAAAGATCAATAAGTTTAATGCCCTGCACCAGTTTTTGTCTTTTATAGGAATGAAATTGTTAAATTAAAATTCACAATCACTTATTATATAGGCCCTATGTATACTTTTGAAAAACTATATTTTATTTTACTCAACACATTCCAAATTCTACTTTTAATATTTAGCCTGATCTATAAGGGAGGGTGAGGACAGTGGCGTAGGCAGGGGGGGGGGGTTACAACCCCCCCCCCATGGACCCCTCTGTAAAAAAAATTATTGTCATAATACCACTGCTACTTATTTAAATCTATTTCTGAAACAGTATACATGTATAATTGAAAATGTATGTTTAGAACAGTCATCTAAAAACTGACGCTATGTTTACTCTGAGTTGGTTATCCCCCCCCCCCCCACCTCAGCAACACAATTGTGTAGAGCGACATTAATGTCACATCTAGGTACACGCTGGGTTGGATAATTGACCTAAAGAGACCGGACAATGGCGAATGAAGTTTGAACATCTCCCCCCCCCCCAGTGCCGGGGCCAGGTTATTTAGCGCCATAGGCAAAACTTATTAAAAGCGACCCCCCCCCCCCGCAATTTTTTTCGTGCCCCCGTATTATCAGAGGCGTAGCGACCCTTCCCGGCGCCCGGGGACAAACTTTCAATTTTCGATTTGCACCCCCCCCCTCAAACTTTCGATTTGCACCCCCTCCCCCGCGTAATGATGTAGCCTACCAAAGTATCACGCCGCCAGAATCATAGCTTTTATAACGTAAATCTCTGTGAATATTGTTTTTGCAATTACCAGTAAAAAGGTGTGTGAGAATACAGTTATCTAACCCATAGCCCATACCTTATCATTATCAGTGTTTCTTCCAGACTTTTTTCTCCGGGGGGGGGCACTTGAAATTTTCGGGGGGGGGGGCGGTACACTTTCTTCGGGGGGGCGGACACTGTTAAAAGTATATATTTTCTATATAAATTATATAAATTTCATCTCGTTCGGGGGGGCGGTAAAAAATTTTCGGGGGGGGGCTTCGCCCCCCCGAAGAGATGCCTGGAAGAAACTCTGATCATTATACTAAAAAATGATCTTAAAAGAACACAAAAAAGCAGTAGCTAATTAAAAAATGTATGAACTGAACTGCAAGACCGATATTTTAGTTATATGTAGGTTATTCTTCCGAATGTTTTTCTTTTATATTGAAAAGCGTGGTTTTATACCAACTCTGATTTCAAAAACTTTCAATGTGCTGTAATACTTTAGCATTTATGATGACCATATATTTAATTCTGATTTTGGGGGAAGGGCGCTTACTAAAATTTCCGGGGGGGGGGGGGGCAACGGGGAGGCTAACCCACTGCCTACTCCTCTGATAGCTGCCGGCTGTCATCTCATTTGTTGTTAAACGCTTTAAATGTGTTGCAATTTTCACTGTCCGTTATCTTATCTGTGTTATCAACTAACAAAATATAGATTGTTAAACGTCCAACGCATACTAAATCTAAGTCGTACATATAAAAAAAACAACACATTAGGCTAGTTCCGTTAAAAAAAAAATAACTGAAATTATCACTCGGCCGATATCAACGTTGGGCCTAGTTTTCATTATGCTGAAGTATGTTGTAGGCTAGGCTAGATCAGTTAAAACACTAGCGTACCTAATCGTATCTTAGCGGCCATCACGTTTGCCACGCCTCCTTGCTTATCCAAGCCGCTCGCGCGAGAAACTACACTTCTCCATTTCATTGGCAAAGGGAAAAAAAAAAATCGTGTCGCGCGGGTCTACGTCACGCAACTGAAAGCGTGTAGTTTGTGTATACTTAGTGCACACGCTGTGTGGCACACACCACACACAATTATGTGGGATTTGACATGAAGCGAATGAAGGGTTAACTAGAAGAAAAAAAAAGAGGAAAAAACAAAAACAAAACATCTGAACTGAAAAGTTTTAAAAGTTATAATTTCGCTTTGGTGTACAATGTGGAAAATATCTGGACTGTGGATATGTTGGTGGTTCAGTGGTGTTTAAATTCGTATGAAGGATTTTACTAGTATAAATATTTTTCCCTGAAAGAAAAATATAATAATTAAAAATGGATGTTTTAACTGACGACCCAACTCTTCATGGAGTTTTAGGTAAAACATTTTTTTTTACAATAATTTCAAATTGCTTTGAATTACATTAATTCTTCTATTTTAAGATCTAATTCTAATCTATAGAGTTCTAAATGTATATCAATAATCGGAGTTTTGTGAAAAGATTTTTGTAATTATTGTGAAAAAAAAATCCTTACATAAAATATTATATAGAATATAATACCTAACACAACAACGATAAGTACAAGGTTGAAAAAACTGGACATATATATATATATATATATATATATATATATATATATATATATATATTATAGTCCTAATAGGAACACATACATAGGAGTCCTATGTATGTGTTCCTATATATATATATGCCTATATAAATAAATAAATAAGTAAATATATATATATATATATATATATATATATATATATATATATATATATATATATATATATATATATATATATATATAAATAAATATATATATATATACAAAGCTGAACTAGCTCTATGCTATATAAGTCTAGAATTTTTTTTTTAAACAGCAGAATAGGATTATATCTAAAGTTTAAATTTATTGTCGCACTTTGCTGAGTTGGTGTTGGGTTTAAGTTTAGCTTTGCATCGAGACTCCATACAGTTTTATATTATATAAATTAACAATGTGATTAACAGTGGGGTCTTTTATTAAACCAGCAATAGTATTTTGTTGCTCCAATGTGTGCTATATCGACAATATTATCGTCTTGATTGATAATGCCTTGTGGTATATTTAATTATTTTAATTGACGATTGTCGAAATAACCAAGCCGGATATAAACCAAATTCTCAATTTTTAACACTCCTACATAAGATCTTTCAGGCCAATAAACTAAATATATCACTGAAGAGTATTTTTGTATTGATATACGGGCTACATAGGTTACTAAAAATACAGAAAGCTATTTTCCCACCGTCCTTAAAAAAAAATTCATTCACATATCCCCAGGCATAAATGGTAATCCCCCTTTCTCTGAGTGACGCCCCTTTCATAGAGATTAAAAAAAATAATTATCAGCACTTTTCAATGGGATTTTGATCAATTTACGAGTGTTTTTTTTTTAAACGTGCGAGCGGTGGTGTGTGTGTGTGTGTAGGGGGATTACTCTAGGCTTAATCGCTCACAGTAACCTTGATCATAAACTGATGAATTTAAAAAAAAACTCTGGAGAAGGTTATACACGTGATATTACGATTAAATAAGTGTTAAGAGTGGTAGTCTTTGTGGTCCTGTGGCTCTGTGTTTCTTTGTGCCTTCTTGGCCTAGTCTTTGACTCCTCTCGTGCCTTAAGTTTAATGTTTCTCTAAGACGACATCATTTCCACTTCTTTCCTGGTGGTCTTTGTTCTGTCTGCCTATACTGTTAAAGTCTACCAACCGAACCACCATCCACCGACCTTTTTAATGCCACACACAAACATAGACGTGAAGAAATATCCAATGATTCAATGCTTCAACATATATATATATATATATATATATATATATATATATATATATATATATATATATTAATAATAACGATTCCATACGATTATTGATTTATTATTAGCTACTTTCGCCCCTCCCCACTTCCCGTAAACTGCAACACTATCTAAAATAAAAAAGTTAAAAAAAACCCACTTTTATTAGGGAGCTTGTAGAGAGTCAACAGTATTAGAAACTGTAAGAAAATCACGGCGCCCCACGTTTTTGATCGCTTATAGTAGAGTGATCGCTTGCATTATTGTGATGTATAACATTTATTTTTAACACGTTTTTATTAACTCAGCTTCGCGTGTGTTTGTTGTTAAAATTGACATCGAAAATTAGCCCACTTCTGATTGCTCTATAGATCTGAAATTTGGCATGCAGGTTACTTTCGCCTAACAATTTCAGATGCAATCATAAAAACTAGCAATTAGAGACCGTAATTAGCTTAATTTAATTACGCCCAAAGGACCATAAAATTGAGGACATGATTTCTAAAGATACCGACAAGACTGGAGGCTTGTTGACACAGTTACTTCGGCCCCAATCGATGTGAGCGCGCTGGCCGTGATCGTATAGTGGTTAGTACTTCGCGTTGTGGCCGCGACAACCCAGGTTCGAATCCTGGTCGCTCAAGATTTTTTTAGTCCGTGTATTTATAAACACTTAGTCAATTCATACTTAATCAAGTCATTAGATAAAGTAGAAAATAAACTATATAAAAAACTTTTTTAAAAAACACGTTTTTCATGTGTAGCAACGGACTAAAAAGGAGAAAATAAAATACTTAAAAAAAACTTTTTAAAAAACCACGTTTTTCTTGTGGACTAAAAAGTAGAAAATAAATTTTCATACATTTGATGACAAAAAACGTGGGTACGTTCACCATCAAATTTCCCGACCCATCTGCCCGACCCACGTTTTTTGTCATCAAATGTATGAAAATTTATTTTCTACTTTTTAGTCCACAAGAAAAACGTGGTTTTTTAAAAAGTTTTTTTTAAGTATTTTATCTACTTTTTAGTTCAATCAGAAAACGTGGGTTTTTTAAAACTTTTTTAATGATTGTTATTTTCTACTTTTTAGTCTTTGTCTGTTTGTTTGCATTAAAATCTCGTAAAAGTTGTATAGCATTAAAGTCTCGTAAAAAGACAACTCGTAAAAAACACGTTGTGTGAATACGTTACTGACTAGAACACATAGATTTGAACCCGCGCCGAGTGGGATAGCAATCGTGTGCCCAACCACTCGACCATATCGTCTCCCCCATACTGGCCACCAGTTGTTACGTTCTTGTTGTTTGTACACAAACACTGCGTGAACACTAGTCAGTAAGCAAAAAGAGGGAGAGTCCCGAACCTTGTTTTCATCAAATTACAGTTACTGGGTTATGTCCCTTTTCCCCCACGTTTTTGTACCATTATATAGCGATCTAAAATGCTCAATAAAATGTTTCCATGGATCAATTTAGTAATAATAACAATTGAATATTCTATGGTCATCGGAAACAAAGCTTCCCTGAAAATTACAGCGCGCTAGCTAACCGGGAAGTGCCCGAAATTTCGATCGCAAGATTTGATTGGAGAACCAAACAGACGCGAAAGCAAGTTAAAGAAAACGTGGGAAAGAAAGTCGTAGCCCTCTAAATTATGACGTAATAAATCTGTCCCCCCCCCCCTTCCTGTCTTTATTGCCGGTACCCACAGTAGCGTTACACACACTGGTACAGCTGGGGTGTATAGCTAGTGGTAACAGGGGAAGTGAAACTTCTGCCTAATAGGCCTACACTTTGTTAAGCTGTGCTGATTTTACAATCGTTGATCCGTATTTTCAAAAATGTCCACACGGGGCCCCATAACACAAGATTATCCGGGGCCCATCGCGAAATGTTACCCGGGACCCAAAGCTTAATTAAGGTTATCCCGGGCCCTTGTGGCAATTATATCCTAATCGCTATAGTCTGCTACAGCTGTAAGATGTTTTGAATCCTCAAAGCTTCTAGGGCCACTGGCTGTATTGCGATTTGTCTTCTATTATTTGGTCCGCATTTATCAGTTATACTCTCAGCAATAATATCAGCCATAATATCAGCAATATCAGCTAAAATATCTACCATAATATCAGCCATACTCTCAGCCATAATATCAGCAATATCAGCCATAATATCAGCCATATCTGCCATAATATCAACCATAATATCAGGCACAATATCTGCCATAAAATCAGCCATAATATCCGCCATAATATCTGCCATAATCAGACATACTCTCAGCCATAATATCAACCATATCATCACCCTCCCGATAATATCAACCATATCATCACCCTCCCGATAATATCAACCATATCATCACCCTCCCGACCTGCACGAACTCACGTACGATCTACTAACTCAAGCTCGATACTTGCGGCTAAGCACTACAACTCGACCTCACCGCTCTCTACACCTTTGTTTAAAAACAATTTCACAACAACAGCCTCTCTTTTTTTTTTACAACAACAACTTTTACGCACGACTGTTTCACGAAGGAGCAGCCTGGTTGAGTAGTACTATGCTAGTTATCAAAGCGACCTCTGACCTTATAGAATACTACAGCCTGGACGACAGAATTGCCGTGAGGAAACCTGATAGACACCGTCAGTTGATAGCACCACACTGTCGCTAGGCTGGACATCATTGATCGACCGCATTATCGTATGGTGTCCTGGGTGTTATCGTAGGACAAGGTGACATACGAGATGACAGACATGATGACATGCGAGATGACAGACAGGATGACATGCGAGATGACATATGAGATAACATACAAGGTGACTTACAATGTGAAATGCAAGATGACATACAGAGTGGCATACAAGATGACATACAAGATCACATACTAGATGATACACAAGATGACATGTGAGATGACATAAGGCGACATACACGATGACATGCACTATGACATGACATATAAGAAGTCATGACATACAAGATGACATATGAGATGACATAAGGCGACATACACGATGACATGCACTATGACATGACATATAAGAAGACATGACATACAAGATGACCTACCGAGGGCAAACTTGAGGATTAGATTTTGTTTATTTTATATCGTCTCGCAAATTTAAAAAAAAATAAGGGAAAGGTAAGGCTCGTGGGGGCAGGGGGGGGGGGGGTCCATTTTATTGACGTCACACAAATCCCCTCCCACCCTTTTTATCGTCACTCGTCTTCACAAAGAAGTCACCCCCCCCCCACACACACACACAACACTATATTAAAGTCACACAGAATCTCTAACTAACCCCACAAAATAATAATTTTAAAAAAAAATTAATTATTAAAAAAATAAATGCAATTATGTATGCTACGCATGAGTGAATCAGCTATTAAACAATATAATCACGTGCTTAGGCGTCGAGGAAAATGGTGTTGAAGGGGGGGGGGGCGACAAAACATCCAAAATCGTTGAAGGAGATATTCACCAACACAATTACTTATTACATGTCAACATGCTATGCGCTATAATGTCCA